TTTCTGAAGAAGTAATTTTATAACAACATCTCATTCAATATTTAAACAACGTTACGTAAAACAAAAAAAACTTTTTCATATGATTTTTGGTGTTTTTGATCTGGGGGTGCTAAATTAATGGCTGGGGGTGCTGAAGCACCCCCAAGCATCCCCCTAGTTACGCCTATGGATATGAACCTTTTTTAACTTTATTTTTCTCTGCATATGAGCATCTACAATATCCCAGTTAATACATATTGTAGTTCCATTAAATACTTCCACAACAAAGTTCAGAGAATTTAAAGTATTGATGATGTCTTGTTTCATTAAACCTGAATTAAATGTGTTACTATTTTATAATTATCTCACGAAATACAGATTAAAAAGTTTTAAATTATCTGTTTTACTGATAACATGATTGATACATATCTTGGCATTATTTGTGTATTTATCTAAATATTCCAATATAACACTTTTCCAATATGAATTGTACAACTTTTGACCCAAGTCRGAAAGGGGTGTTTCTGGTGTTCCAGGCTGTTTTTCAATTTTAGATAAGAGATAACCTGAAAAGATTGATAACACGTGATATCTGTTTAAACAAATAACTAGTTTCGTATAGTTTTCACTTACTGAATTCAATTAGAAGTCGCCCGTACCCTTTTCTTTGATATTGTGGCATGACCATGATGCAAGCCACGTTAAAATAATTGTTTTCCCTGTCTTTCGATTTTGAAAAATAACCAACTAAATTGTTGCCCTTAACATTTTTAATGAAAAATTGTTACAATAGTATATAACATTATAAAATACAATACAAAATATATACATATATATACTTACGGCAAAGTCATTTTTCGTCAGAATATAAAAACGGAACGGTTCAACGCCATATTCCAGAGTTTTAACATCCAAAAATAGTTTTCCAATTCGACATAATGTTTCACATAATGTTTCACAATATATTTTGTGATTATTTCCATCAACCTGTAGGAAAAAAAATTTAAGCAACTTTATAGTTTACCTCTTATGAATTGTTTAAAAAATATTGATTAACTTCAAAAATGCTYAGACATTCGKTTCGGTAGATTTCAGTTCCTGGCGGTGTTCTCCAATTACAATATCGCATATGTCTTCTCATAACCGATTGGCACTGAGTATATTTCAAACAATATTCACAAAAAATCAATTTCATAGCATCATGTTCCTGTGGAAATTGGGTTGAAAACCAAGTCTTCACATTGAATTTCCCAAAATGTATGACAGCTGGAAATCTTATTGGAGATTGAGTTGCTCTCTATAATATCAATTGTCAATTAGAAATTACAAATGTAAGACATATTATAATAAAATAAAAAATTATTTAAAACCTACATTCTTTAACGGTATTTTTGTCTTTTCAGAGATTTTTACAATGTTGCCAGATTTTAAGTTTGATACTGGGGGGTTCATATTTTCCAGAACTGAAATTTGTATTTAATATTTATTAWCAAGATGACTGGTTATTAAGTGAAAAAAAGTTATAAGTGCCACATAAATAAACACTAATATAAACTGTTAAATATCATGGCAGACTATATAATATCGATAATGTAAAGCTATATCTGTAGATGCTAACCTATAGCAGAGATTTCTTTTAACGGTTTTTACTTTGTTCGGTAACAAAATGGGATAAGAACGTTTGAACTTATAACAAACAATTTTTGCACCCCACGAGGCCACGACCCACACACTCAAACACACACACATACACGAGTTTCTTCAGTGAAAMCCTGTATTTTATATATGATCATGAAATAAAATAAATCAATAAATAATAGTTAATTGAAATAATTAACCAAATTGCGTTGAATATTAAAATGAGCATATTACCAGTGTTTTATAGGTACCTATGTATTATACGTTTTACTCCAAATATTTATTTTTCACTCTATGAAAAATTTAAAACCAGCTATTCATAATATTACAACTACACTTATTCGGGACGTATTTATATGTCACTGATACAAATACAGTGATAAAAGTGTGACGTAATATAGTCATATATTATTTCGAATTTGATATTTGTTKATTTTTCAATTTTCAATTCCTAGTTCGCTGTCTGAGTAACGGCAGTGTAATTAYCGTTGTTTAAACGGTTAAGGCTATCTGATATATTCTCAAAAAATAAATGCAATATTGCGGTATGATATTATATTAAATCAGCTACTATCTAYAATCTACTCAGTACACACTAGGTATATTAAATTGATAGAGAACAGAAATAAAAACAAACAGCATGCAATGGATTAAAATTCAGCAAATCTAACCCTTTTCCCGTTMTAATCTCGCGCATTAAACGTATAACTTTGCCTAAATAGTTTTGTTTTCTCCATGGCGATGGGAAATCGTACAATACCGCTAATCAGGATAGAAGGGGTAGAAGAGTCAAGAAAGGAGACTTACCGTTTTTCGTGGCATTACGTACATATTTGAAACCCACAATGGATGGTTTTACACATTTTTTCTGTTAAAATTTCAATGAATTAATAAATACTGAAATAAATAATAATCCGCCTTTATTACTTTTTTCAATTGTGTGAGTGTGACGCTATCCTCAGCAGTCAGTTTTCTKTTTTTCTCGTTTTTAGGAAGTGAAGGGCGTTTTTTTTCTATTTTATTTGATTCAAGCATTCGTGATTTCCTTCCAGAACTACATTTTTCTAACTCTGGTCCTCCATTTAATGATTTGATATCTGGTCGACGCTGACCTATTACTCTACGCACTGAATGTGCTTTAGTTTGGACAATATTTGGCATCGACTCTAGACACCCAATCCAGTTTCCAGGCCCCTGTACCTGTCTTTTAACATATCTTAATAGCACAATAATATCATAAAATATACTGGGATATTTGCTAATAATATTAATATTGTATAGACTGACAGTTGACTGGCCGTCTTCGCTCAGATCGTTTTTCGTATAATCAATAATTTTAGTTAGGTATATATTATAATTTTATAACATATTTTATTTAAATACATATAATTAAAAAAACATTCCTACTTATAACTTTAGTTTTTGGTAGTAAATTACATCAAGTATGTACTATAAAGAGCAATATTTATATTRTATATGTATATGAAAAAACTAGAATATTTACGCAACACTATTTTTTTTTTTTTATTTAAAAACGAATAGATATTTGTGGTGACTTGATATTATTTTCACCAAATAAAAATTTCTTAACGGGTNCATCTGACGTTCGGTTTTTTTAAATACTTAGAGTTAGTTTGTGATAATCAGATACAGACATTTTTCTTCCAGTTCGTAAGCTTCGGAATTCGTTCTATGCCAGGAGGAACACAGTGACCAGCCAGCAATATCCGATTGTCTAATTGGACGCTTAGTGTCCAGTAAGTCACGCCCGTGACGCTTTTTGGTCGCAGCGGCTGAAAGCATGAATTCGACTTACGCTAAAGTGCCTAAAGAAGTTTCATTTCAAAAAACCTGATTCCAGAACTCACATATAAGTTAGGTATAAGTCAGAATTAGATAAAAAGCCACTCCACTGCCTAGACCAATACTTTTGTAATTCGCATTGTCCATGTCAGCAAATGTATAGTGAACACAAATATTTTACACACTCATTGCATAATTTAAATAAATCATATTAAGTAATTATGTAACAATTAAAYATAATTTTATTYAACTATCAAATGGATATTGTTCCCTAACTGACTGCAAGCCAAGTTATTACCTATATATCGCACTAACAAATACCAACATCAATAATCAAGATAAAAATGTTTTTAACATTTGTAGGTATTATTTTATTTCTCAACATTTTGCTGAACAATGATATTATTATAAATTTAGTCCATAGCAATTTCCAATAATACTAAAATATATAATGATTGTTTTGAATTCAACAACATAAAAAAAAAAAAAACAAATTCATATTGAACAAAAAATAAAAAGGAAATCTTCGATTAATTTCACCAGATAGCAAATATAGTTTTAAGGAACCACAAGACAAAAAAATATCTTTACATTTTTTTTTAAAATGCTTAATAATTGTAGGTATATTAAATTATAAGAATAATGTGAGTAGAAAC